CTGCTTTGTATTTTCTCTTCTGTGCAGAGAAATACAAAGCAGCATGTCTTTGCTCGCAGGAAAGGAGACCTTCACACCTTCAACCTTCACAACAAGAGTTCTTTCACACAGGTCTCGCCTTGCCAAGGGCTGCTATGTCAGCAATTACAGCGGGTTTTTATACTGGTGCGGTTCCAACTTGGTCAAAGAGCCGCACGATGATTTCTATGAGAGTGCATGCGCTGCGTCAGGTGCGACTTGCGTAACCCACATCTTGTCGGATGTCTTGCAAATCACACCTGAAATCGGCAAGTCACCTGACTTTGAGATCGTGCGACTTACAGTGAAGGCGCACGATTTCAAAGTCGGGCTTGATGTGACTGAGGGGTTAAAGGAGTTTCCAGTGAATATGTAAAAAAAAAATAAATCCACAGCTACAAAAACTGTAGCTGCTGACTTTATTAAAAAAAAAAGCCACTTACCTGTCCCTGGGTCCCCCAGTGCAAACCCCCACCCCCCCCCCCCCCCCCCCCCCCCCCCCCCCCCCCACATTTCAGCCCATTTTACCCAGCCGCCCTGTGTTCCCCGGTTCCAGCAGATCGGTGTGGGCAGCCTCCCAGACCGGTTGTGACAGCTTGCAGCTTTACAGCCGGGTGCCACTGCGCATGCGACGAGTAGCGCTTCGCGCACTGTGAACCGGGTCACCTGCCAGAACAACTTCTGGGGACCTGTCATGTGTCTCCAATCAAGACTACGGGGAGGGCGGACGGACCAGAATTCAAACTTCCGTTGGCAATCGCAGTGGGGAGCGGGTACCTGCCAATTTTGGTTATTCACACCCCAAAAGGTGCCAATCCTTAATGGGGATCAGGGGGACCAGCCCCTTTTAAAGCGGAAACCTTCCCCCTTTTGGGTGGAGCTCGCTTTAAATGTGTGATGAAGAGCAGGGGCGGGACTGACCATTTGGAAACGACGGGCACTGCCCAGGTCAGTAGGGGGCCCCGTGAATGTCCCCCTGTGTACATCTTGGTGCTCCTGATCCTCTTCACCTCAAGTTTTCACCAGAGCCCCTCAATGAGTAGAATATTATGGAAACCCGATTTTAAGAGCAGCCTAAAGTGCTATAATGGTCACAACTAAAAACTTCCTTTTTCTTCATCATTAGGGGCCCAAGAAATCACTTAGATCTGGTACCAGAACCAACCTCATCACAAAACAGCCATGTTTGGTTTCAGTCAGACACAGGCAGCCAAATGACAGGCTGCTTCTGCTATGGAGTATTTTTGGATAATAGAGCTCTGGACACTTGTTATATATTAAAGGATAAGTTCACCTTTCGTAACATGTCACACCCATATTCAGGGTGTAACATGTTATGAATGGACCAGCCCAGGGGCAGACTGACCATTTGGAAACTCAGGCACTGCCCGGGGGCCCGGGGGTAGTAGGGGTCCCCCCCCTGAGATGCCCCTGGTACCTTTTCATAGGCTTTTTTGAGTTTGGGCAAGGACACAGGGGCCCCATGATCCCCTATTGCCCAGGGGCCCCATGATCCCCTATGCCCGGGGGCCCCATGAGTTGTCAGTCCGCCCCTGAAGAAGAGGCATTTCATAGAGGCATGTGGAAGGTGGCATACCTCCTCCAGGGCCCTGCTAGCCATCTGCTCCTAGATTGTAAGCTCTATTGAGCCGGGCCCTCTGATTCCTCCTGCATTGAACTGTATTGTTGCTGTATTGTCTCCCTTTATATTGTAAAGTGCTGAGCAAACTGTTGGCGCCATAAATCCTGAATAATAATAATAATCATGCTGTTGACAATATGATCCACCATGGATTGTGACGTCAGCAGCTCGACCCTTGTGTGAGAGGGTCCATACTGTCCAATTGGATCCCCAGCTCTGCTCCATAGAAGCCATAGTCTCCATGCACTGCACTGATGATGATGAGAAAGCCTGAAACAGCTGTAAGCAGATGGGAAGAAATGGTTCTGCAATATTCTACCTCTGTATGAACATTTGACTGTTGAGGCATAAAGGAGTCATTTACATGGCCCCCTCCGACCATCCTGGAACGACAGCTAATCCTCCTCATTTTGGGATCTGTGATGGAATGAGATCTTCTGGTCTAAGAAGGCTGTACTGTGCTGCCCACAAATGTAATTTATTATTATTATTATACAGGATTGATATTTTATTTATTTCAGGTACTTATATAGCGCCGTCAATTTACACAGCACTTTACATATATATTGTACATTCACATCAGTCCCTAACCCTCAAGGGGTGTACAATCTAAGGTCCCTAACTCACATTCATACATACACATACTAGGGCCAATTTAGACAGGAGACAATTATCCTACCAGCATGTCTTTGGAGTGTGGGAAGAAACCGGGAGTACCCGGAGGAACCCCCACGCAGTCACAGGAGGGAAAACATGCAAACTCCAGGCAGGTGGTGCCGGGGTTGGGATTCGAACAGCAACCCGAGTACTGCCAGGCGGAAGTGCTAACCATTTAGCCACTCTGCTGCCCATATATAACACCAACAGTTTGCTCAGCGCTTTACAATATAAGGGAGACAATACAGCAACAATACAGTTCAATACAGAAGGAATAGGAGGGCCCGGATCATGGAGCTTACAATCTAAAGGAAGGGGGAGGTGATACAAAAAGGTGATAGCTGTGGGGGATGATCTGGTGGAGGTGACCCTAATTATTTTTATCTTTCCAAATAATTGTCCAGACCAAAGGGACAGCCAGCGATTAAATTCAATATATATGGGATTTACATGCCATGCTGGGACTTGTGGTTCATTGGCTGGAGGGTTGCAGAGTGCCATACAGCCTGCAGTGTTCCCTGTATTACTGACAGCATTGCAGGGGTGTGTGGATGGGAATAGCCGCCTGCCGCAGTACATTGATCCATCCAAGAAATTGCTCAGGCCGGCTGAATTGTCTGGCTGTCTGCCCCACTGTATATAGACTGTACAGAGGGGAGCCAACAGGGGGGGGGGTTGTGTAATGGGGGGGGGGGGGGTGCAATGCAGAGTAGCTAACTGCTGCCATCTAATGGCAGACTGTGGTTATACATACTCCTTTCATCAGCCGCACTGCTACAGTGTGACTAACTTATGGAATTTAAAGGACTGGTCTGTAACCTACTGTATATGTGAAGGGTCCTAAAGCCAGACCCAGGGGGCGGACTGACCATTTGGAAACTCGGGGCACTGCCCGAGGGCCCCTGGGGTCAGTAGGGGGCCCCCATGAGATGCCCCTGGTACCTTTTTTCATAGGTTTTTTTGAGTTTGGGCAAGGACAGAGGGGCCCCATGATCCCCTATTGCCCGGGGGCCCCATGAGTTGTCAGTCCGCCCCTGGCCAGACCATTATGGACCCTCCTTCATCCCCCCCGTCTCTTTAATCTCCATCGTGGAAGCAATTCATCTAGTGATACAGAATACTAATTAATATAAAGATGAACTCCTGAATGCAACAATGAAAGGCATATATGGGAGTTGCTTTACTTGCCACAGCAGTTGCCTTTTTGTCCATCCAGTCCTGAGAAGAACACAGCTCTGTCACAAAGCACAACCCTGTCTGGCAGGAGAGGAGACCTAACTTTAATCTGGTTCAGTTCAGTAACCCCTCCAAGTATACAGCCCTTCCTCACCCAATAGAAGGAGAATCAGGGGATGGATGAGCTCATCTTTTGCTTTCTGTGATCTCTCCTGGCCTGCAATCAGTGTGCTACTTGCATTGCAGCACAACTGCTTCTCCCTCCCCCTCCCCCATGCTCTGCTGTACAGGGACTGCAGGAGGCCAATACCAAGTCACATTCAGGTATTTTATGCTGCTTGCATATGAGAAAATACATTTAGCCCCGGGTTTCGCGCTGATGCGGTGCGATTCCTGTGCAAATCACACATGCGGTTGGTCTTGGTGCAATTTGAGCCATACATTTTGTATGGATAAAGTCGCACCGCACCAAAATTGTGCAGGATCCTCACCAGAATAGGATCACATGGGTGTTCACATCTATGCAATCTGATTCTGCACATTGCACCTGATTGCACCGATTTCGGGGTGTTGTTAACTTAACATACACACCCCCAGCCGTTCACATGAATGGGGTACGATTTTGTTACTGTGCAGAAATCACACAGAAACCGCTGCAAATTCTGCACTGCATCAGTGGGAACCGAGACGTAAGGCTGTATTAAGGAATACTGAGTTGCATCCATTTGTATCCTTTTTTTTTTTTTTTTTTTTTTTTTTTTTAATATCTGCCTAGAGTTCAGCTTTAATCACCATCTTTTGCATGTTCCTAAACGTTCTAATCATTCTTTTTATCCAAATGTATCTGCAGAATGATACCCACATAAATCACAATGTAGCCAGACAGCTCTGGGCCCAGGGGTGGACTGACCATTTGGAAACTCGGGCACCGCCCGAGGGGCCCGGGGTCAGTAGGGGGCCACATGAGATGCCCCTGGTACCTTTTTCATATGCTTTTGTGAGTTTGGGAAAGGACACAGGGGCCCCCGTGATCCCCTATTGCCCGGGGGCCCCATGAGTTGTCAGTCCGCCCCTGTCTGGGCCCTCCACATGCCTCCGGGGCCCACAGCAGGCGCACAGTGTGCTACAGCTATGTACTGTATGTCCATGCATAAAAAAGATAGTTTTATGGTGTCCATCAGGGACATGTGGAGAAATAATCGATATTTGGCTCTCTGATGTACTTTGGTGCATTATAAACGATGACATCTGGAGGCTCCTGGTGTTCCGTGTACAGGGCCCATCACATGCCAATATAGCTTCAGGAGCTTTAAATCTTTTCCGTAAAAACCTAAAATAAAGGATGCAGTGGAGAGCACATTGCTATTGATTGTGGTCGGTTTTATATATATATTCACATCTCATTTGTGCGGTGAATATACGGTTTATGTATTGATTTTGATTTCTATCGATTACTGATTGTTTTACAGTTTACAATAAATCTGAATAATAAATCTTCTCTTCTCAGCGTTTGTGACGAATACAATGATGAATCCAATCTGGATGGTGAAAAACACGAATGCAGCTCGAGAGAAGGTGAGATTATGTCTCCTTTTATGTCCATTTATTTCAGGGACTTGTACAGTATATCACCGTCAATTTACATATATATTGTACATTCACATCAGTCCCTGACCCTCAAGGGGCGTACAATCCAAGGTCCCTAACTCACATTTATACATACACATACTAGGGCCAATTTAGACAGGAGCCAATTAACCTACCAGCATGTCTTTTGGCGTGTGGAATGAAACTGGAGTACCCAGAGGAAACCCACGCAGGCACAGGGAGAACATGCAAACTCCAGGCAGCTGATGCCATGGTTTGGATTCGAGCCAACCTACTCCTAGTACTGCCAGGCAGAAGTGCTAACCATTTAGCCACTGTGCTGCCCAAATTTCCACTCACTTCCTGTTGTGTCATTGGGACAGGAAGTGAGGGTAAGTTTCCCTAAGGGCAGCATGGACATCAATAGCATAGATCAATAGATCTGTTTAGCATATTACAGTCTTGTTCCTCATTTGCTGCAGAAATCGGCCTCCTAAATTGTCGCCATTATTCCTATTCCTTGGACCCAACCTCTGAAATACAATGGATGACCCAGAGAACCATTGTGTTGTCACTGCACTGCCCATGTTAATTGATTGAAAATTGTAGTGCTCTGCCTCCAGAAACTAAGGGATGGCATATGGGGTGTTACCTCCCACCGTATTTCTTAAAGTTTTTTTTTTTTTTTTTTTTTTTTGCTCGTTTTTTGCTATACAGCACCAGGAACATTACTTACCTCTAATGAAATGTGTCCCATTTCTGGCTGGCTCCTGCATAGTGTGGAAATCCTCTTCCCGCAGTGCTGATCTTCCAAGGCTGTGAAGGTTTACATCCGTGAAAAGAGTTGCGCCGCTCTCCTGCCCCTTCCACCCAACCTCCTCCATTCACAGAATTCGTACTGCTTGTTCTTTCCCAGTATGTAAACTTTTCTGTGACTGGAGGAGGTGGATCCTGTCATTCAAACAAACAAAAATTCCCAGCTCACTTACCAGCCAGCCTGCAACAAACCAAATTGGCCCTGTCTAACAGCTTACTTTAAAAACTCCAAAGACATGCTGGTAGGTTAATTGGCTCCTGTCTAAATTGGCCCTAGTATGTGTATGTATGAATGTGAGTTAGGGACTTTAGATTGTACACCCCTTGAGGGTTAGGGACCTTAGATTGTACACCCCTTGAGGGTTAGGGACCTTAGATTGTACACCCCTTGAGGGTTAGGGACTGATGTGAATGTACAATATATATGTAAAGTGCTGTGTAAATTGACGGCGCTATATAAGTACCTGAAATAAATAAATTCTGCAATATCCCACAAAATGAGTACACTGCTCAAAAAAAAAAAAATTAAAGAAACACTTTGAAAAGCCATCAGATCTAAATGGGGACAAATCTCCTGCTGAATCTCGATATGGACTGAGTGGTTTAGTTTGCACACATTTGCTCATATGTATGTAAGCTGCAGCGTCCACGACACGGCACTCCAGTGTACTGCGGTCCTAACTCTCTAATTATGAGAGTCTCCCAAGTTGAAATGCATAAATCGTAAAGGATATATTTAAGAGCAGGTGTGCCTGGAGGGAGCCCACCCCCGTCTTCATATAACTGGTGTGGCAGTCATCAGGGACACTGACTGGTGACCGTACGAATAAAAAAAAAAAAAAAAAAAAAAATTTGTTTTTAGGTTGGCGTCATCTGATTCTGGGTCACAGGCAGGACCAGATCTAGCCTAAAAAAAAAGAAGAAAAAAAAAAAAAAAAATCAGGGGGCATAATGTCAGTAGTGTGGCAGGTATGCATGGAAGCAGTATTCCCTGTTCACTCGGCACACTTCTGTCATAACCCAGAAGTAACATCTGATAGGTAGTGCAGAGGTGGTGCAGGAGTGAACTGGGAAATGCTGTCATTAGTTTAGGGTGATTGAACAGAACTTGTGCCCCTTTATATCAGGTGTTCCTAACAGTCCCACCCCCCAACACACATTACAATAATGCGAATGTGCACGGGGTGATTAGGGTGTGCCCAGGAACACCGGTCCACCCTGTGCGCACACGCCTATTTTCGGAATGTATTACAACAGTGTATTTATTAGTCAAGAGTTCTTTAAAGTGATTTTGCACCCTCAGTTTTTAAAAACTTTCAGCAATTGACTTAATCACTTACTGAATATGCAGTTATCCTGGGTAAACCTTTTAACAAACATATTCCTGGGTGTAATGTTTATTTTATTGGGCTAAAAAAACCTCTAACAATTAATTCAATTTTAATAAAAAATTTTATGTAAAATTAGTATAATATATGACTAGAATAATAATTCATCGTTTTAATATTTGAATTACTAAAACTTTTAATTTTGTTTAAGACTCCTTTTTAAGGTATTCATGCGTCCCATTTTTCTGTTTATCAGGGTGAGAGGGTCCAAACAGATGAATGCCCTGCAGTGTGCCCGCTATGTGTATCAGACGGAGGGGATGAGAGGATTTTACAGGGGCCTCACAGCCTCCTATGCTGGGATCTCAGAGACCATAATCTGCTTTGTAATATATGAAGGCCTTAAGAAGCACCTGGAGGATAACCACTTAACCCACGACCAACGGCAAACCCGGTGAGAAGACCTCCTCCAACTTCCTGGGATTAATGTTTTGCTGCAGCTTTTTCCAAAGGATGCGCCTCCTGCATTGCCTATCCACACGGTGAGTCTCCAGGGGTCACACCATGTCGGGTTACTTGGGAAAACATTGACCCTGCCTGGGAAATCATTAAATCGCACTGGCGGGGGATTTGTTGACTGGTTTAAGAGGCAATGAAGGGTAAACCTATCTCTTTACACATGAACAGACGTTAAAGGGAAACTGTAGTATATTACCCCCCCCCCCACCCCCCCCGCCCCGTCCCCCCCCCCCCCCCCCCCCCGACCCCCCCCCGCCCCCCCCCCCCCGCCCCCCCCCCCCCCCCCCCCCCCTATATTTTTATATATTTAATGTTAATATTTAATGATAATTTTGAAGAAAAATCACTTTCGTTGATATCGCTTCACTCGTATGTATTGCAGTTGGCAGCAGTGTGGTCTGCCTGCCATGTGTGATACTTCAGTCAGCCATTGGGATCCCTATCTGATAGACCTCTGGTGTGCCTGGGACCACTGGAGGTATCCCCCCATAGCCCAACTATCCATTGGAGGAATGCACTAGCAGGATCGCCATGTTAAAAAAAAAAAAAAAAAAAAAATTTTGCAGCAGATTAAAAAAAAATTGACTTGCTTAAAGCAATATTAAAGCTTTTTTGTTTTAAAATAACCAGTTATACTTACCTGCTCTGTGCAGTGCTTTTGCACAGAGCAGCCCCGATCCTCCTCTTCTGGGGTCCCCCTGCTGGCGCTCCTGGCCCCTCCCTCCTACCGAGTGCCCCAGAGCAAGCAGCTCGCTATGGGGGCACCCAAGGAGGCTCGCTCCCGAGCTGCTACTCTGTGTGTCAATTCACACAGAACTGCAGCTTGGCCCTGACCCCCTCTGTCTCCTCATTGGCTCACTGGCTATGATTGACAGAGTCCCAGGAGAGCTGAGGCTGTTGTGCACATCGCTGAATTGTGTTGGGGCTCAGGTAAGTCTTTGGAGGGCTGGGGGGGACTGCTGCACACAGAAGGGTTTTTTTTTTTGTTTTTTTCTTTTAACCTTCACGCATAGAATGTTTGAAGGTAAAAAAATTTGAGCCCTTACACCCACTTTAACAATCTTGAGGCACGATGCCAGGCATGTTTAAAACTTAGATTTTGGGTTTACATACATTTTAAATCAAATATTATTGGCCCACAATTATTATAGCTTCCCTCTACCTAGCCCCTCTTTTCTGCTTTTTCTGCTACACTATAGACACAACTGATGCCGTGAAATACTCTCCTAACTCAAAGTGGTTGTAGAGGCTGAAGGTGGAAAAACCTTCTAAGTGTAGCTCAGCTCCCCTTATACTTACCTAAGACTGATGTCAATGCAGCGATGTGCCTGGGAGCAGTGGCTCTCTCTCTGCTCTCTCCTTCCTCATACTTCAGGGGCAGCAGCAGGAGCCATTGGCTCCCACTGCTCTGTTACAGCCAGTGAGGAGGTGTGGGGTGGGGCTGAGCCGTGCTCTGTGTATATGGAAACACATAGCCGGCTCAGGAGAGAGCCCGCACAGGTGCCCCCATAGCAAGCTGGGGGGGGGGGGGGGGGGGGGGAGCCAGGAGCAGCAGGGGATCCAAGAGGAGGAGGTTCAGGGCTGCTCTATGCAAAACCATTGCACAGGGCAGGTAATTACAACATGTTTATCTATATATATATATATATATATATAATATATATATATATATATATATATATTTATATATATATATCTATATATATATATATATATATATATATATATAATATATATATATATATTATAATAATTTTTTTTTTTTTTTTTTAAATAACCGATAGATAGATAGAGATATAACATAGGTTTCCATTCACCTTAAACCCGGGTTCACACTGTGGTGCGGGACACCGCATGTAATTCGCACAGGATCGCACTGCATGGATTTGCCCATAGAGTAGTCCCAAACCTCCTGCTGCTCCTGGCTCTTCCCCGACCAGCTTGCTATGGGGGCACCCGTGCGGGCTCTCTCCTGAGCCGGCTTTGTGTGTCCATATACACAGAGGGGGTGCTCTGCTTTTTCTGCTACACTATAGACACAACTGATGCCGTGAAATACTCTCCTAACTCAAAGTGGTTGTAGAGGCTGAAGGTGGAAAAACCTTCTAAGTGTAGCTCAGCTCCCCTTACTCCTACTTACCTAATGAGATGAGTGGCAATGCATGCCGGGGGGGGGGGTTGGGGGGATGAGCGGCAATGCATGCCGGGGGGAGGGGGGGGGGGGGTTGATGGGTGGAAATGCATGCTGGGGGGGGGATGAGATGAGCGGCAATGCATGTTGGGAGGGGGGGGGGGTTGATGGGTGGAAATGCATGCGCCGGGGGGGGGGGGGGGGGGATGAGCAGCTGTGCTACTGCAAAAATAAATGCAAACTTGAGATAAGTGAGAATTGTGTGCAATATCTGACCTCCTGTCCTTCTTACAGAGGTGATCCGCACCAGACTGCGGGAAGAAGGCAGCAAGTACAAGGCATTCTGCCAGACGGCGCGTTTGGTGGCACGAGAAGAAGGCTACGCTGCTTTTTACAGAGGACTTTTAGCCCAGCTTTTCCGGCAGATCCCCAACACTGCCATTGTCCTTTCTACGTATGAACTCCTAGTCTACCTGGTGCGCGACAAACCCAAGTAAACGGGTGAGCCGCCTTCCCGGACATTCGCACTGCGCACTGACCAAACACAGACTGGCGTACTGTAATGGCTGCCTGGCCGCTCCCATACCCGGAGGATATCATGTTTTTGGACTGTTTTCCCTTTTGGGACGTTTTAGTTATCGTTAGTAAATAATTTGTATATTTTGTTATTTTAAAAGTGGAACTTGCAGAGTCGTGATTCCCACTGATGCTGCTAGGTAACGAAATCCCGCTATTTAATTTACCCGGCCCTGACCGGCATGGTATTTTTCACGAGTTGCATCTAATTTATATCTATAAAAGAACAGAGTGAAGATCTCTTTGAGTCCAGTGTCCTTCTGATGTCTGTACTGTGTGATGGGATTGCAGTATAACATTTTTTCACTAGGTGGCGACAGAGCACACAAGACACCTTGCTGACTATAGAGGGCGACTTTTCCATACAGTGATGAAGAATCTGATCGATGCAATGAGAGTGTCTTATCCAAATTCCGAAGGAGTGTTCCCTGTCTGCAGTACTGGAGAACACCGAGCTAAAATGAGACGCGTTCTACATAGTAAGTCTCCAAACTGCGGGCCGGGGGCCAGATGTGGCCCCTTGCTTGCCTTTATCCGGCCCTTGGGGCACTATTCCTCCCACTGACATTACCAATGGGGCATAATTCCTGCCACTGACAACAAGAGTGAGACACTATTCCTCCTCCACTAACGATGGGGCACTATTCCTCCCACTGACACCAATGATGGGGCACTATTCCTCCCACCGACACAATGATGGGGCAGTATTCCTCCCACCGACGCCAATGACGGGGCAGTATTCCTCCCACCGACGCCAATGACGGGGCAGTATTCCTCCCACCGACGCCAATGACGGGGCAGTATTCCTCCCACCGACGCCAATGACGGGGCAGTATTCCTCCCACCGACGCCAATGACGGGGCAGTATTCCTCCCACCGACGCCAATGACGGGGCAGTATTCCTCCCACCGACGCCAATGACGGGGCAGTATTCCTCCCACCGACGCCAATGACGGGGCAGTATTCCTCCCACCGACGCCAATGACGGGGCAGTATTCCTCCCACCGACGCCAATGACGGGGCAGTATTCCTCCCACCGACGCCAATGACGGGGCACTATTCCTCCCACCGACGCCAATGACGGGGCACTATTCCTCCCACCGACGCCAATGACGGGGCACTATTCCTCCCACCGACGCCAATGACGGGGCACTATTCCTCCCACCGACGCCAATGACGGGGCACTATTCCTCCCACCGACGCCAATGACGGGGCACTATTCCTCCCACCGACGCCAATGACGGGGCACTATTCCTCCCACCGACGCCAATGACGGGGCACTATTCCTCCCAGACCACCAATGACGGGGCACTATTCCTCCCAGTACCACCAATGATGAGACCATATTCCTCCCACTGATGCCAGTAACGGGGCAGTAGTCCTCCCACTGCCACCAATGATGAGGCACTGTTGCTGACATCAGAACATTTTCTACTCCTACTGGCCACAGTTTGGCTCCTCTAAATTCTGAAGGATAATAAACTAGCCCTTTTGTTCAGCAAGTTTGGAGACCCCTGCTCTAAGGTATGTTAGATTAAAGTGTTACTAAACCCACAACAGTAAAATCCATCTGTTTTTGAAGTAAATCATGCTGGTTATACTCTTTATCGAATCTAAGGGGTTGATCCTCTGCATTGTGTAAAAAGGATGTTTGATCCTGTTTTCTCTGATCCTCCTCTTCTTCCAGTGTCCTAAATATCTGCTGATAGAACAGAGGCATGGGGGCAAGCTGCACATGTTCAGTTTGGTGTGTGTTGCTAGAGGGTTTTTTTTCCTTTTCGTGGGAGAGTGCATGTGATCAGCACAGGGCCAATCAGCAATGTCCAGACAGAGGTTTTTCTATGGAACCTTCCTGCCATTTGATTTACTAAAAATGGTGCATTCAGAATCTGGAACCTGATTAGTTCCTATGTAGATCTTTAGTAGTAACTTTGGGAATACCAGGTAAAACTCCGGACATGAACTTGAAGAAAACAAACTTTTTATTAATCAGCGCTGAGTGACCCAGCAAGGGCCCATGCCAGCAAGCCAAGTGGCTTGAAAAACTTCTCACATAGTATACATATTAGCAATTATGTCACAATACATATATTTCCTCTTTCACTTTCTGTACATTCAAAAACCTTTCTAAGCAATTCAGAACATGGCCTTGCTAGATAATTTATCTTCAGCTACAGAAAAGAATACCAGCTACAGACTGGAACACATTACTTCACAGAGGCTGTTAAAAATGTTAGTTTAACCCCTTGGCGCCAGTGCCTTTGAGGGTTCCAGAAGCTGGGAGGCAGGATGGGGTTTTAGGGTCATGATTCATTGTCACGGCAGTCACATGATCGGAAAATAGAACATTTGTGTTCGGCCGGCACCAAGAGGTTAAAGGGGAACTCTGCAATACTTGGGTGCTGCCACAGATCTGCACCAGATTTTGCACTCTTTGGTAGTCATACATAATCCCCACTGTGTATAACAAACAGAAATTCCTATTTGCTGCACACTGAGCCTGGGTTCACACTGATGCACCGGTTTCTGTGCGATTTCTGCACCGCATCACAATCGCACCCCGTTCATACGAACCACTGCGGTGTGTATTTTAAGTTTGCGACACCCTGAAATCAGTTCGCAAAACGAGGTGCAGAATTGGATCGCATGAGTGTGAACACCCATGCGATCCGATTTTGGTTCGGACCTAAAAAAGGGTCCTGCACTATTTTGATGCAGTGCGACTCGAGCCATACAAAATCTATGGCTCAAATTGCACCGCATAGAAATTGCATGTGATTTGTACAGGAATGCAGTGCGGTTCCTGTGTGAATCACATGAGATATGCCATGCCGAATCAATGTGAACCCGGTCTGAGATGATAGACGCAGTAATTGCACTGCTGCATAACCTGGAGAGGACAACGCATGAATAACGTATGCTACACACAGGAGGTATAATCGCCCGTTTGGGATTGGTGCTCTAAAATAACGATGACCTCTGCCTTGGACCTCTACAATTCCATATCCCTGCAGTTATATATATCTTTGTGTGTGACAGCAATAGTCCGCAGGAATGTCCCAGCACCAGCGAAGCAGAGCTTTACCGACAGCCAATCTCTCCCATGCAAAGCATGCTCACAGTGTTGTAGAGCAGACTGAAACAATACAGATATCACGTAACGTAGAACTGTAGTCAGGCTACAGACATCTATGTATACTTAACAAGCAGTAAGTACATTTTAAGGGCCCTTTCATACCGCTTAATCTGTTGTGGTGCGTTTAACACATGTGTGGTGTTACACTAAGGCGGCCCCAGGGGCGGACTGACCATTTGGAAACTCGGGCAGTAGGGGGCCCCATGAGATGCCCCGGTACCTTTTTCATAGGCTTTTTTGAGTTTGGGCAAGGACACGGGCCCCATGAGTTGTTAGTCTGCCCCTGGGCGGTCCATTCATTTTTAACCACTTGACCTCCAGAAGATTTACCCCTCTTCATGACCAGGCTATTTTTTTCTTTTTTTTTTTTTGCTATGCAGCACTGCACTACTTTAACTGACAATTCTCAGTCATGCAACACAAATTACATTTATATATCCCATAGTGCCCATCAGTACAGCCTCATCAGTGAAGAAGAAAATTTACTTAGTTGCAAAATTTTATAAAAAGAAAATAAATTTTTTTTTTTTTTTTTTTACATTTTTGGTCTATTTTCGTTTGTTCAGCAATAATGTAAAACGAAAAACCCCCCAGTGGTGATTAACCTCCCTATTACCGAGTGTAGCTCGGGGTAAAGTTTCAGCACCACAAGCGGTAACCCCCCCGAGCTACACTCAGGAATACACTGCAGCGCTGCTCCGGGATTCCTTGGTCACTTACCTTGTCCTGCGCTCCCGTGACGTCCGCCCTGCAGTGTCCCCTGTAATGTCCTCCGGCCGATGCCGGCATCTGTCTTCCGGGTTCCGTTCCCTGTGACATTGGGATGTACGGGGACGGAACTGGCGGGAAATGTAACAATTTTAAAAGTGACAGTCACTAAATACACTAAAATCACATAGTAAAACATTCCTGTATCAAACCATTTCACATACATTTTGTCCCGAGTGCTTTGTCCTGCGCCCTGCCTGCATTTTGACTGTTCTTTCTGCCTGGAAACTTAGAAACGTCCATGGAGTCCAAAAAGCGTCCCTTTAGGTCAAAAGCAGTTTTAGACCGGCTAGAGAACAGCGATAGTAAATCAGAACCACTTGCAGAATTGAGTGATAATGATTCGTGGGGGAAATTCGTCATCAGACACTGAAAACGATTCTGCGACTTTGCTCAGCGATGTGCGAAGTTGGCGCTATATTTCAAATTTCAGTGTTTTTGGTTTGATTATATTATTGAATTAAATGTATTAATATTATATTATTATTTTTTATGATTATTTATTATATTATAATTTATTTCATGTTTCAAATTTTATCATACCCGGGATGTTTACTAGACTCTTGTTCGGACAGATTTCAGTGAGTTATTCCTAAAAATTACAGGACTACAATAAAAAAAAAACTACATATTTCCATGCAAAAAAAAAGGACCGCTTTGAGCACAGAAATATGGACGTAATCAGACCGCTAGGGAGGTTAAATACCACCAAAATAAAGCTCTGTCTAACAAAAAAAAATAATTAAAAAAATGTCATATGGGTAGTGTTGCATGACCGTGCAATTGTCATTAAGCCCTGTTTTTTCTGTGCGAATTCTGCAACGCATGCAAGTCGCACCCCATTCATGTGAACCGCTGCGGGTGTGTATGTTAACTGAACAACACCCAGAAATCGGTCCACAAAACGTGGTGCAATGTGCAGAATAAGATCACATAAGTGTGAATAACGATGCGATCTGATTCTAGTGTGGACCCAAAAAAGGGTCCTGCATGTTTTTGGTGCGGGTGAGGTGTGAT